ACCTCTTGTTCCATACAAAATCGTCGTCTACTTCAACCAACGTTAAGTCATTTAATTCTCTTCACTCGTTTAGTTCTTGAAAGCAGCTAACCTCGTTTACGTCGTCAATCTCTATTTCCACATCAACATTGTCGTCTACTTCAACCAACATTAAGTCATATAATTCTCTTTACTCGATTAAATCTTGAAAGCGGCAAAACTCGTTAACGTCGTCAATCTATTGCTTCACAAAACCATCGTCGTCTACTTCAACCAACGTTAAGTCATTCAATTCTCTTCACTCGTTTAGTTCTTGAAAGCAGCTAACCTCGTTTACGTCGTAAATCTCTATTTCCATATCAACATTGTCGTCTACTTCAACCAACATTAAGTCATATAATTCTCTTCACTCGATTAAATCTTGAAAGCGGCAAAACTCGTTAACGTCGTCAATCTATTGCTTCACAAAAACATCGTCGTCTACTTCAACCAATGTTAAGTCATTCAATTCTCTTCACTCGTTTAGTTCTTGAAAGCAGCTAACTTCGTTAACGTCGTCAATCTCTTGTTCCAAATCAACATCGTCCTCTACTTCAAACAACGTTACGTCATTCAATTATCTTCACTCGCTTTATCTTGTAGGCAGCTAACCTTGTTAACGTCGTTAATTTCTTGTTCTACATCAACATCGTCCTCTACTTCAAACAACGTTAATTTAACCAATTTTCTTCACTCGATTAATTCTTGAAAGCAGCAAACCTCGTTAACGTCGTCAATCTCTTGTTTCACATCAACATCGTCGTCTAATTTAACCAACATTAAGTCAACCAATTCTCTTCACTAACTTATTTCTCAAAAGCGGCTAACCTCGTTAACGTCGTCAATCTCAATTTCCGGATCAACATTGTCGTCTACTTCAACCAACGTTAAGCCAACCAATTCTTTTCACTCGATTAATTCTTAAAAGCAGCTAACCTCCTTAACGTCGCCAATGTTTCGTTCTATATTATCTTCCTCGTCTACTTCAACCAACGTTAAGTCAACCAATTCTCTTTACTCGCTTCATTCTTGAAAGCAGCTAACTTCAATAACTTCGTCAATGTTTTGTTCCACATCAAAATCGTCCTCTACTTTAACCAACGTTAAGGCAACCAATTATCTTCAGTCTCTTAATTCTTGAAAGCAGCTAACCTTGTTAACGTCTTCAATCTTTTGTTCCACATCAACATCGTCCTCTACTCCAACCAACGTTAAGTCTTTCAATTCTCTTCCCTCGCTTCATTCTTGAGAGCAGCTAACCTCTTTATCCTTCTCATTCCCTTATTCCACACAATTATTTTTATTTTATCTACCTTGCACATTCTCCTATTTCCTATCTCTCTCTCATATTCTTGTGATAACCAACCTTTTTGATTTCATCCTTCTCATCAATTTCCCCCACTTCATTCTCCTTGATTAATTCCCTTAATTTATATAGTTCGCTTCATTCGTCTACATTGTCATTTCTTCCTCTCTATTTAATCTCATATACCTCACTCCCTTCTTGACTTCTTTTTTCTTCTCTTTCTTGTCATCCCCTTAATCTCACTGATCCTCTTCAAATTCCTTACTCCTTTCCTTTTCTACTTTCTTCTCCTGCTCCAATCCATCCTTCTTCTCTTCTACCCTTCTCTACTCTAAATTTCTTCTTCGCTCACCGTTTTCTCTTCGTCCCCGTCCGGCCACCGCGCCAAATCCTCCCTCAAGCGTTGTGCCGACCTCGATCCAATCTCGCCAAGCGAGACCAACCCTCGGAGGCTGTTTGGTCGTTCCGCTTTGTTTGTCTGGCCCGTCTGTCCAACTGTACAGCCAGCACCGTCGGGGCTACATACGTCGCCTAGCCGCGCTGGCAACTCATCTGGCGTCGGATCAACCGAGCTGGCCGACTTCGAGAGCTGCGGACTCGAGCGGCTCGTAGAGCTGATCGACTTCTGTTGCCCCTGCCTCACCGGGACTCGCGAGTCGGCGGACTCGCTGCAGCCGAGCGACGCGAAGAGGCCATTGAGCTCACGAGCCGGCTGACTCGTCGGGGCCGCGGTGCCGAGGGGGTTTGGGAGGCAAGACGAAGATGAGTTTGTACGCAGCCGGTCGAGTCAGCCCAACGAGGTGGGACACACAAGCATCATCTGTACCAAACCAACACCAACGTAGGCATTAATACTAGAGCTGTCCTGCAGTCAGGGCGAGGGAGCATTCGGTTCCTCTTCTGATCCAATCAGACGATAGATTGCGAAAAATTGATCCGCCACTGGGTTAGTGGGATCTAGACGAGCCTCGCCGGCTTTCGCCCAACACGCATGAGAAATGGGCGTGCAAATGTATCTCGCTCCAATTGCAACAAAATGCCCAACGTATGGCCGACTAAACACCACCTGACTGCCTCTTCGGACAATTGTCCCCCTATTCGGTGGATCTGTGTGATCCACATTTGCTTCGATGGTCACATGTCATCGTTCAATCTGACACCACATTCACAGTCCTCTAAATCTACTTCCATCTGCCCGCCTACCTCATTTTACACCGTACCATCTACCCCCTTTTCGTATCGACAACACTACTGTCTAGCCGCCAATCACTTTCTCCATCTATTTATCCATCCCTCCGTCCATATATCCATCGATGCATCAGTGCACTCATTCATTCATCCATTTATCCGTCCATTCATCCGTCTATTAATCTGTCCATTAATCCATCCACTAATCCATCCATCCATCCATTTATCAAGACACCTATTCAACACTTCATAAATACATTTATTCATCCATCCATTCATTTATTTATTCATCCAACCCTGCATTCATACAGCAATTCCTCCACCCATTAATCCATCCCTCCATCCGTCCATCCATTCATCCATACATTCACCCTTCCATTTATCCATTCATTCGTCATTCTTCCATCCATCCATTCATTCATCTTTTTATTCATCCATTCATCCATTGATCAATCTAGCCATTCACTCATTCTTCCATTCATACATCCTTTCATGCACCCATTGATCTATCCACTCATCCAATCAATCATCTTTCCATTCCATCCATCCATCAATAATTCCATCTATCCATCCATCTATCAAATCATCCATTCATCCATTTATTCGTCTAATCATTCATACATCCCTTCATTCTTTCATTCATCCATCCCTTCATCAATCCACTGATCCTCCCATTCATCCATCAATTCATCCATAAATTCATTCATCTATTTATCCATAATCAATTCGTCCATACATCCATTAATTCTTCCATTTATTAATTCATTCATCCTTCTATTAGTCCACTTATTCAAACATTCTTCCATTTATCCATTCATCCATACATTTATCTATTTATTCTTCCTTATATTGATCCATTCATCCATCAATTTATACATCCATTCATGAGTCATTTGACCCATCCATCCATTAATCCATTAATCAATCATTCCATCCATCAATCCATCCATCAATTTATCCATCCATAAATCCATCCATAAATTACTCCATCTATATATCCATCCATCCATATATTCATCTGTCCATCTATCCATCCATCCATATATCCATCTGTCCATCTATCCATCCATCCA